ATATATATAATATTAAGGGATATATATTATGGCTGAAGATTTCAGGACCCTGTTGAAACAGAGTTTCACCTTGAGAAACACCATAAGATTAAAAATTAGGTTGTTTGTAATCAATAAAGATAAATGGGTTGTTAAAAAAAATAAAAATAAAACCAGACACAAATAATCCAAGCAAATTAAACTGTATTCACCTTTCTTGTCAGAACTGCTTCCATGGCTCTTAAATCACAGACGTTTTAAAACCAAGCTTAAAATTAATTCTCAAAATTGTCATGCAAGCCATCTGCATTTTACAATTTATTTATTTATTTTTACTCCCTGTGAGGTTGGTATCAATGTACATCTACCTAGCAATTTACATGTATTTTATTTGAGTGGAGTTTGACGTTTGTTGTGATGAAAATGTCAATGTTCAAATTATTAAATTGATTTTTTTCTCCCCTTTTCCAGAAACAGCATAGCTGCCTCAGCAGTGTGTGCCTTCAATCTGAGTGCCATTACTCAGGCATTTAATGGCCCTTTCCGATACCAAGAAAATCCAAGATCAGCCTGGCTGCCAACGTTAAATCCCATCCCCAATTTCCAGGTACTGCTGCTGCCCTTCAGTTTACTCCAGTCCCTTTTACATTCTGCCACTCCAGTGGGTTGATTTGTATGGGGCTCATTTTTCCAGGTAGACCCATGGTGCAGATTTCTCCATTTCTCCACATTTATGAGTGTTTTAGTCTGTGGAGCTCTTTGCCACATGTTCTTGAGACCATGTGATTTGTGGCAAAAATTGAATGGTTTTGCTGATAATAAGAATGTTCAGATTTTTTATAATAATGAATAATTTAAATCTCTGTTACACTCATCACTGAGATGTGAACTCCAAGAACGTGATCCTCACAAGGGGACACCAAGACATGTCCCCACTGAAACTAGGAAGGATTGAAAGCTGAAGCTGGACAAACTCAAACTAGAACAGAGACAACCTATGTTTTTAAACAAGAAAGGTAATTAAACACTGTGACTGTGCAAGGATGTGATGAATTTTCCATCACTTGATAGGGCCCCTAAGGCTACCTGCGTTTCAGTGCAAGACAGATGTCTTTCAAAGACATGGTAGCTCAGCCAGAAGTTATGGATGTGTTGCAGCAGTAACTGGTAGAAGAGGAAAGAGGAAGATGGTCACAGCGGTTCCTTCTCACCTTAAAAATCTTTGTTTTTATGAATGAGCAGCATTCCAGGATTACCAGTTAAGGCCAATTTGAAAATTATAGAACAACTTCAGTTGTTTATGCCTGCCCAGATTCAGTCAGTGAGGTGCAGAGTATGTGTGTGACAGCCACAGCAAACCTGTGTCTTCTGAAGCATGAGCCCATTATACAGCTCAGTCCCTTCCCACCTGGGGAATCCTAGGGAGAGTGGACTTGTCTTCCTGTCCTTGCTTCCCCATGGTGAATCCTTTCAGCCCAATTGTGTGAATCTGGCTCTCCTTTGATATGGCAAAGGTGCTGAGGCTGCCTGCAAGTGCCATCTGCCTTCAAGCTGGTGATGTCAGGGACCTTCCAAAAAGGACTCTGCAGTCACCTGAAATCACAGCAAGAGCAGATGGGAGGCAGCTCCATGCTGCAGGCAGGGACATGCTTGGCTTCCTGCTGAGGAACCTGATTTCTCCTAAATTCCCTCATGGACGTAAGTGAGGGCTTCTGCCTGTACAAGGTGGGGGACAGATTTGGGCTCTCGGTCACCCCCTAAGCTTGGTACACTCAAAACCAAGAAAGCAAGCTTGGCTGCAGGCCCATCCAGGCCAAAATGTGGGGGGGGTTTTTTTTTGGTTTTTTTTTTTTTTTCCCTCCTTTTTTTTTTTTTTTTGTTTGTTTGTTTGATTGGTTTTTTTTGGGGGGTGAGGGGGTGGTGGTGTTTGTTGTGGGGTTTGTTGGGGATTTTTTTAAAGTTTAAGGGGAATATTAAGGTTAACTGAGAATCAAGAGCTTTCTGTCCCTTGCTGAGCTAACCCAGGAGGAATAGAAAAGGACTTTGGAAAGCATTTCCATGTAGTGAAAAGTATCAGATAAAATGTGGAGTGCAAAGATTGCAGCAGCAAGATGAAAGAAAAGGGTCAGAGGAAAATAAGGAAAGGAAAAGGAGGTATGTGGCAGACAAAAGGAAGATTGCAAGAAGAGATTAAGATGTTTTTCAGGTACAGGAGGAACAAGAGGTCAGTGAAGGGCCTTTAGGAGATGACAAGGGTAATTTAGTGACAGAAGAGGCAGATATTGCAAAAAAATTAAATTAATTTTTTTTGCCTCAGTGTTCACAAGGGAAGATGAGGGAAGGATGCCAGATTTTTTTTCTTTTTCTTGCAGAGAGGAAGGAGAAATACTGAAGGATACAGAGGATCAGGGCAGTGCAGATAATCAGGAAATTAGAACAAAACAAAATAAAACCAAACCAGAGGGATGCTGTGTCAGCACACGGGCTGCCAATAGCCCAAAAGGATTATCTGTGACTTGATGAGAACAGAAAACAAAACGAACAATGACATTCCTGCCACTGGGATTCCTCCTTCAGTGACACTCTAGAAAGGAAAGTGAGTGGGGAAAAAAGCACCCAAAGCCAAGACAGTGGTGTAAACCAGAAGGAGTATAGGAGACAGCAGAAGAGAGAGATCTAAAAACTCTTTAGAATTTGGAATGAGTCATGAACTAAAAAAGACCATTGCAATAGAAAAGAAACAGTAAAACCGACCTGAGGACACATCAAAAACCCACTGATGTTTTCTTAGTCTGGCTAATCAGGAAGATGCTTAAGTTGATAAAAAAAGTGACCATGTTCATAGGTGGTGGGAATTAGTATCAGCCTGTTCGCCTAGTTCACACAAGCTCCAAAATGTTGTAGAGCTTAGTACACCAGCCATTAGGATCTGTATTTATTGTGTAAATGTGAGCTAAATTCCTGTCAACTCATTTTAGCTCACAAGAGAACTTCTGCATGGTGCACCTCAGAAAGGCAGCCACACTGCAAAGAGTTGCTGTGATGCATGTCAAGAGTATGCATGTGGGAAATTTGTACACTGTAGCTGGAGTGCTGTAAATTGACATTGTAATTTGCAGTATGCGAACTTCCCTTCCAAGGAAAGCCCAAACACCAGGACCCAAAATGAAGAAAAAGATATTTGTGGGGTTTTTTCTAATGAAATTACTCAGGTGTGAGCTTCACTTAGTGAGAAACTGTGCATGGACTGAGTATGGAAGTTGGCAGGATTTCTAGTTGGACCACTGACTCCTGTGGCCTTGGTCAAGATAAATACCCAATCACCCAGCTGTCTTTTGGAGTAATAAATCTTCTGCCCACCATGTGTGACATTGTGGGGAAGAGCGAAGATCCAGCCCTGGCTACTGGTATGGACCACAAAACTGCATGGAAAGTTTAATCTTGCATTGTCTTTTGAAAATGCTGGATTCTAGAGATCAGTGTGAGGTAGAAACTCGGGACTTAAAATGCGTTATCCACCTGATAAGACTTGCACTGGTGTTTAACAGACACAAGATGAGCTCTCTTCTCCCCCCCATTCTGGATGGGAAAGGGCATTGAGTCCTATTTCAGTGCACCTCTTGGTGCCAGAGAATGGATGGACACAGGTTGACCTGCCATTCGCTCTGAGGACAGAAGAGCTGCGTGTGGGGAGGGGGGCACTAGTGGCTAACCTGCCTTGCTTCAGATGAAACCAGAGGAGTCTTTTCAGAAGGGAGCACATCATAGAAAAGCAGTGTGGTGAGTTGGGTTACTTGATGCAAAACCAACCCGTTTTTCAGGTTTCGTAACCTCCAGGTTTTGTGCATTGTACAGACTGAGATGCCAGGTTGAGTCTGAAGATTATTTGAAATGCTTCAAGGATTTGTCACCACAAAAACTTTGTCTCCAATGCTAGCTTTAAATCTTTCTACAGCTAGTTTTAATTCTTGCTTTTCTTCCTTGGTTTGTTAATGCCTTTTGCCCTTCTGGCATGCTGGCTCCCAGCTGTCACAAGAGAATGAAACACCACATCACTGGTCAGTGGACCAGCTGGGAGAAACGATTTGAAAGAGTGGGCTACAGGCCAAAGCTAGGCAAAGCACCTATGACCAGGCTAAAGGTCTGATCCTGTGACCCTCACAAAGACCCACCTCCCCAGGAAATCAACAGGACATGGGTTTCCAGAAGAATTTCAGGGTTTGGTCTTGGGCTGCTGGAGTGGGGAGAAAATGCAGGTGCTGAAGTTCAATCTTCCATGTTTAGTGTGGGACGCTGAGTGATGACGGCCCTAATGAGAACCTGACGGAGAGAGTCCTGCAGGATGCGCAGCGCTTGTTCCTGATGAATGATGTTGTGCAGCCAGTGACTGTAGATCCGTACGTGACTCAGGACAGCATTCGATTTTCCAAACTGGTGGTTGATATTGTTCAGGGGAAGGATACTCTCTACCACGTGATGTATATTGGAACAGGTAAGAGCATCAGGGCTTAACAAAGTTCCCTCCACTTGCTCATAGACCTAGTAGCCCTGGGAGCCCTGTCGTGACATCATTACACAGTTGTCATTCAGTATAATTTTGGCACAGAACTGCATGGAAGTTAGTTTGCTTGAGTAAATGAAAAGCAGGATGGAGGACTTGAGGCAGAATCCCAAGTGAAAAGACCATAAATCTACATTGTGTTTAAAAACAACAATACATTTTTCTCCCTCTTATAAAAACATGTTTCAATTAATCAGACTAACACATAACAGTGGGGAAGAGCAGAGGTCACTGAAATGCTCTGTGGTTTTGTGCACCTAAGTTGTCTCTGCACTATGCCATGCTCATCTCTAAATAAGCAATATTTACATATACTTAGATATACTTAACCTCCAGGCCTGCCCAGGTTTTAATTATGTCTTACTTTGCACTTCCGTGTGCTTACTGGTGTATGACTCTCAGTGCTTTCGGGAATGGGCATGCACTGAAATGTAATGCAGATGGGGAAGCTGAGGCAAGTGCTTTTTTGTGGTAGCATAGCGAGCCAGTAGTAGAATTAAGTGTATGATTTAGTCTCTTGATTTCTACTGCCGTCCTGCAATTACCAGGACACATTGCCTCTTCTGAAAAGCACAAGATACCTTGGACAAATGAAAGATGCTGAAGAAGGACAAGGTGTTATAAATGGTTGTCCTAGCCCATATTCATACTAATGATAGAGGTTAAATTAAATGGTTTGATTAATCAGAGCATATGGCCAACCTCATGGGTATAATGTTGTTATCCTCTATTGCAGAAGCTTTGACTTTAGAATGAGATGGATTGCCTCCGTAAGTGTGAGTTTAATCTCACATCTCAATGCAGAGTCATTGCCTCATTCTCATGTTACCACCTTCCAGGACTGTGTCATAATTTATCTAACTTTTACCACCACTTACTTCAAAAGGGATTATCTTGGATGTGTTCTAGTAACATTCCCACTGTGGGAGCCTCCATGGACATTGATTAAGATGAGAAGATTGTACTTAAATGGAAATACAACATGGTTCTGCCATTTTGATGTCTTGATACTTTAAGTGAGGAATCCCAGCTATTAAACCTGAGAGAAAGCTGAGATACTTTCTGCCTCGTATCATATGTGTAGAAAGGTCTACTGCCATAACCTTACCTCCTTATTTGTCTTTGCTTTCTGCCCCTAGTTAGTGGTGACTGAAGAGTAAGCTCTGCTGGACCTGAAACATTTAAACCAGTGAAATGCTTCAGCAGAGACAGCAGTGCCCAGAGTTAGCCCCGTACACAAACCCAGTCCCGAGACAAACAAAGCCCAAACTTGGGCCTCAGTCTTGTTCCACACTTCAGGCCCTCCTAAGTGAAAGAGAAGCTTTGCATGGCAGCCAACCCCGCCACTGTAAATTGCTGAGCTTTGACACCAATACAGAAGTTACCAGGATAGAAAGATGAAGCTTCAGGAACAATCAGGGCTGACAGACCTCTTTGGGGTTTTAATGAAAATGGTGTGGTTGCCCACTTTTCCCCAGCATAAATCTCCCACAGTTCGTCAAATCTTTAAATTGTTTAGGTAAAAGCACTGTGAATACAAACATATATGTTTCTTTGCATGCACTGCTCATGCCATAACATCCCCTTGTCAAGCTGGCAGTGTGGCTTCTTCCAGGAAGAGGATCAATTAGATCCGTGACCCATGCAGTCATTATGGAGCCCTCTGAGATTTCCAGCAGGGCTACTGCATCTGTTGGCATTTGTCATGGCGTCAAAACACACCGATCCGCTCCATAAACCAAAAGAAATACAGACTCGAGGCACCAGAAATGATCCCTGCTATCTCAGGTCACCTTGCTGTATAACTCACTGGTAACAGGACCAGACTCTTTTCTGCCTCAGTGCTCCAGCTGGGAAATATTTCCAGGTACTCACTCTCCAGATGGTTCACATCTTTCTGGTTTGCCATTAAAACGCACTCATGGGCCGTGTCTGTAATGTCTGAGAATTGCTGAGGATTGTAACCATGTAGCTGGAGCACTCTCTACCATGGGCAGCAGGTGACCCACAACTAGGTTTAAAGCAGCTGTGTAAAGATCACACTAATATTTCACTCTTTAGGCAGGTACGAAATGAAGTCAATGCCTCCAAGATTTACTTCTGCCTTGTTTCTTGTTCTATTAGAGTATGGCACCATCTTGAAGGCCCTTTCTACCACTAACAGGAGCCTCAGGAGTTGTTATTTAGAGGAAATGCAGATCCTCCCTGACGGACAACGGGAAGCAATCAAGAGTCTCCAAATCCTGCACAGCGACAGGTCGCTCTTCGTGGGCTTAAATAATGGAGTGCTAAAAATTCCTCTGGAGAGATGCTCCATGTACAGAACAGAAGGGTAAGCAAATTTACAGCTCTGATATATTCCACTTCAGGTTAAAAAGAAAAGCACCAGGGAAACATATTCTGGTATGATTCAGGTTAGAAGGCTTTTTTTCATTGCTACAAGACAAAAGACACTGTTGAAAGTGTATCTCCTGATAGATACATTCATGACAGGAGCAATGAGAATGAGCAATATTTTTTTTTGTAAATATTATTAGTCCTCATCAGAAATTAATTGTATGTTTACCAAGGAAGGGCTTGCAATATTTACTACTATTTTTTTTTTGTGTTGACATTCTAGTGTTGCTTTTATTAATTCCGTGTGTTTTGCTGGTGGTTCTTATTGGCGGTATGGCTGCAGGTTTCTGAATTTGGGTTGCAGCCAGCCTTTCCTGGCTTATCTGAGCAATCACCTCTAAGATGTCTGATGAGGCAGGGCTGGGCTGCATGGCAACTTGTTATTGCTTCTAGAACCCAATAGCTCATCTCAACTGTGTGTGACACCTCTTACACCTGGATAGATTTTGTGCCTTGATTGTACCTTTTAAAGGGAGTTGGAAAAAAGATTTCTTTTAATTGTTATCCCTGGATCCAGAGCAGTTTTCCGCCCAAAAATATGTGTAGAATGTTTTTGCATCCAAATGGTATCCTTCTGTTTAAGCAGGTAAAAGAGTGTGATACCAACTGATTAACACATATGCTCAAATAATCTCCCTGAGTGTGTAGTGTGGCCTTCTCTGTGGGTAATTGCTTGTTTACATCTCTTGAAAATACTCTTCCTTCTCCTTTCTTGCTTTTGCCTTGCATTCCTTAATGAGAGTTTTGTCTGAAACTGATGTCCTCTGTGCTAGACAAGAGGAAGGATTGTTAGCAACATCTAAATGGATTCCCTCTTTAATGGCCTACAGCAAGATGTCCCTTTCTCTTGCCAAAAAAAACTGATATAGAAAATGTCACCATCATTTTATTTTCAACAAGTAGAGTTTATGTATCAGCTTGTACTAAATTCATGTCTGTCTAAATATAAAAATGCCAGCTCTTTCTATTTTCAGTGAACCTCTTAATTATCCCTTTCAGAAAATGTGACTTGGTCATTACTGCAAGTTTGACACAAAAGTGTTTAATGTATAAAGGTTTAGTTACTTAGGCTGACACAAAAGTGTTTAGTAAGAGAAAGAGAAGCACAGCTGGAAAATTCCATCCTGTCCTCAGACCTTAAAAGCAGAGATTTAAAAAGGTAGAACATAACAGCTGTCCTCTTCAGGCTGTCCTGGAGAGTTTCAGTTTGAGGATATTTATGTGTGTATACATATATATGATCCATTTTTGAAAGAAATGAGTTCTTCCTTTTCTTTCTTTTCCTAATCTTGAGTTCAGCTTTCTGGTAATTTATAGATCGTGTCCCAGTTTCAGCCTGCCTAAGTGCTTTGTATGACACTTTGTAATGGGTTTGCATGGCAAGGTTTTGGTAGCAGAGCGGCTACAGAGGTGGCT